CCCCTTCCTAGTTCAAGTTAAATCAGAGTCCCCCAGCATCCCATCATGCTTTGCAACCCTGCACTGGGCTGGGCTGGGCTGTCTGTTCCAGCTGTGCGGGGTTGGCTCCACCCCTCTCCTCCCTAACTGGAACACTATCACTGCTCCAGTTGGATGAGAAGGGCATGGAGGTGCTCTGGATTGTAGCCCGGTATGCCTGGCAGGAAGGCAGGAGCCTTTGCCAGGCATCCCCAGCACCCGCACACCCCTTGTTACTCCAGCCACAGGAGCAGGGGTGTGGCCAGATCCATGTAGCCTAAGGGGAAGGCGGGTTTAATTCCCTCACTGCAGGGGAGGGCAATGCAGGCACTGACGGGCAGAGCTATCGCTAGGGGTGTGTGGGGCGTGGGGCAAATCAGCCTGTGCAGGGCCCCCTTAACACCACCCAGGGCCCATGGGAACTCCACAAAGGCAGGGCACAGGCTGGGGCAGCGTTTCCCAACCTTTCCAAGTTTCCCATGGCATTTTCCAAGTTTCCCATGGCATGCTTATGTGGGTAAATGAACATCACGGCACACTGGATACAGGGGGAGGAGTGGTGGCCAGAATTTTCATCTGGAAAACACTTAAAGAAATTCTCACCATGCAGGGGGGCAGGGAAAACCTCAAATGTGGTAGCCACTGCCAAATGTGGGAGGGGCTGCAGCCTTTCTGCCCGGCTGTGGGGCCCTCCAAAGCACGGGGCTTGGGGCAGTCACCCCGATTTCCCCCCTCCAAGGGACAGCTCTGCTGACGGGCTCCCCTCAACCATGGTGGCCAGATGTCAGTAGCCTGAGGGGAAGTGGGGTGTGGTATGGGCACCCACACAGTACTGGCTGCATCCCATGCTGAAGATCCCCTCGGGCAAGGCCTGCACCAGAGTGCCTGGGCTGAATTCCTTGGAGGAGCGGCAAGCAATGCCTGATGCCAATGTGGGTCCAGCTGTGGGAAAGGGGCAGGGGAGTTGGGATGTGACCTGGCTGAAGGAACGGTGGGCAGAGGGGGAGGGGAGCCAGGGCTAATTATGCAAGCAAGTGAGCGGGGGTG